GGCCATGCCCCGCGCCACTGGGTGCGGGAAGAACCCGCGCGCCTCACTCGCATTCTTGTCCAGAGGACGCGTCAAGCCGCGGCGTTTCACACAAGCCGGGGTAGTGAAACTGGCAGTTCACATCGGCCTGGGCGTGCTCTGCTGGGTGTGTGCAACAGCAGACCCTGGCGGACCCGGGTGGCCGCGTCCTGTTCCTGCCGGGCGGCCTGGACGAGAGCCCTGGCCCGTGCTCTGTGGTGAGATGCCGGCTCTGGAGCGGGCCGAGGGCGCGCGGACGGTGGGGCGGGGCCCTGTCCCTGCCGCCGGCCGCCTGCCCCCGAGCTTGGTCTTCAGGGGTCGGCCACCCGCCGGGGGCTCGGCGTTGGCCCTGGGGAAGGAGGCTCCGGGGAGCCGGGGCAGTTTGGGTAGCGCAGGAAGTGGCCGGGCCCACATTTCCCTGCAGCTAAGTCTATGTCTTGCCCTGCGTCAGCAGGACTAGCTTGTCCTGTCTCTGGGCTCTTTTCCTCACTGCCCTGGCAGACGGGTCAGAGGCCACGGGAAGGCCTGGAGCAACTGTGGCCAAAGTGTCCCCTCGCGGGCGGAGCCGGGACTGCCGGGGCGTGGCCCGGGCCTGGGGAGGGCTCTGCCAGGCGTGTGCTGGCCGCGCCCTGAGCCCGCCTGCTCAGCGCTCTTCTGCCCTCACCGGGGGCTGGGCACGACTGGGGCTGGCGCTTCGCCAGAGCGTCGGGTCAGCCCTGGCGTCCGCCGGGAGCTGCCCCAGCCACACCCGCCTGGGAGGTTTCATCTCCTCACCTGGGGTCTGTCCCTGTGGCCTCGGGAAAGGGCAGGGAGTGACCTGGTGTGACCTGTGCTGAGCCCTCGAGGTGGCGAGGGCAGAGCTGCGGGCCAGGTGCCCCTGGGCTGCCCAGTACCTCCCGCTGAGCGCCGCTCAGGTGGGGAAGGGTCCCGCTGCTCCCCCGGGCACGGGCTGCCTGGAGGGCGGATGCCCGCCCGTCCCTGCCCGGACCAGCACCTCTCCCTCGCCACAGGCCCCATGAGGTTTGCTCACTGACCTGCGGAGAGGGAGCGGCCCACAGAAAAGCCAGCGACGCTCGCCCTTGGTCCGGAGCCCGGGGACGGGGCCTGGCCGTAGCAGTGACCGGAGTTGGGGAGCTTGGGCTGAGCCTCCTCCCGGTGGCCGAGCTGTCCTGGGGCCCCGCCCCAGCAGCCTGCGAACGTCACCAGTGACCGCCGTCCCGCGGTG